TCAACCTCCATTCTATCTTCCTTCTTTATAGTGTGCCTCTTATTTTAAAGAGACAGGAAAGCTAAATGTAAGATTTCCCAAATTATTTTGCAGCTAGAGTGCTAGATATAAATTGGGCTTTTTCTTTCTCCCTTCCTTCTTTCCTTTTCTTCCTTCCTTCCTTCCTATATGTGTTACCAGCTTTCTGGTAATGCAGAGGCAGTTACAGCAGAGATAGTGGATAGATTCTGAGTTATAGTGACACTGTACCAGCTTTGTGGGTTATTGCGAGGCAGTTGTGGTGATGGTTTCCTCATTCTTATGTTGTTGCTTATGATTGTGATCATGTGTTCTCAACTTCATGAGCATAACAACCTTGATAGATACTGGGTTCTTCATCTTCCACTACCACCCCAGGTTGATGTCCCGACATCCCCTGGCCTGTCTTCAGCAAGAATCCTATTAGGTCAGTTTAACCAAAACCCCTCATACCCCAGTGTCTCCTCTTAGTAATGAAATTCTCACTTGCTCACACTGTATTTGCAACTGAGCCTGGTTCTGCACTGAGGTCTCTTTTCTCCTATTGTGATAGTTGGGATTAAAATCTGTTTTTCCTGCTTTAAATACTGTCTAGCTCTGGTTTTTAACAGTATCTCCCATGTATACCTGAAGTATACATGTTAATAAACTTATGTTTTTTTCTTGTTAATGTATCTTTTAGTACCAGGGGTCTCAGTCAAGAACTCAGAAGGGTAGAGGGAAAATTACTTTTGTCCCCTGTATTCCCTGTTTGTAAAATCAGTTCTAGAGCACTAAGATGAGAACTGCCTCATTTAGAAGGTGAGCAGTAAAAGCGTTCATGGATTGAAAGATTCAGTATTGTAAAGACGGTCTCTCCAAATCAACCTATAGATTCAAAGCAATCCTAGTCAGAATCTCAGGGGTTTTTTCTTAACTGAAATTGACAGGCTGAGTCTAAAAATTCATGTGGAAATGCGAAGGACCAAAAATAGCCAAAGCAACCCTGAAGGAAAATAAAGCTGAAGGGTTTATCCTACCAGACACTAAGACCTATTATAAAGTTACAGTTATTAAAATAATGTGTTATGGCACAAGAATGGTCAAACTGACCAATGGAAAAGAAAGCATCCAGAAAAAAAGCCACACATACCAGGTATCCTGATTTATTACAAAAGCAACATTGTAAGTAGTTCACTGGGAGAAAGAATAGTCTGCTGAATAAACGCAAGGTTAACTGGACATCCATTTGGGAAAAAAATATGTTGATCTTTACTTCATACCATATAAAAATCAGTTCCAGATGTATGACAGAGCTAAATGAAAAAGGTAAATTAAAGCTTTTAGAGAAAATACCTGTCTAACCCTAAAGTAGGCAAATATTTCTTTAAAAACACTAACCACAAAAGAAAAAGGTTCTATTGGATTATAATAAAATTAAGAGCTTTTGTTCATTTAGACACTATTAAGAGAGTGCCACACATATTCTGAGATATTTGAGGTACATATATCCAACAAAAGACTTGTATCTGAGATATCTGAGGTACATATATCCAACAAAATACTTCAAATCAGTAAAAGAGATCACCCAATTGAAAAATATGCAAAAAACATGAATTGGTTTTACAAAAGTGGATTTACAATGGGTGGGCTCATAAACCTATAAAAGACTCTCAGTTATCAGGAAAATGCAAATTAAAGGCAAGAGGACAGACCAGAATAGTTAACAAGAAAGACTAATATTACCAAGTGTTGGTGAGGATGTAGAGCAACCAGACCTCTTATACTCTGCTGCTAGAGGAGTATAAACTGGTACAACAATATTTGACAGTATCTACAAAAGGTGAACATGTGCATTTCCTATGACTCAGTAATTCCACTTCTAAGTATATACCCAACAGAAACATGTTGAACAAAACATATATACTAAGCAGCACTATTCATAATAGCCCCAAATTGGAAACTACCCAAACCATGAACAGTAGAATAGATCAAGAAGTTGTCATACATTCACATGCAATACTATGGAGAAATAAAAAATGCTCACATGACAATATGAATGAATCTAACAAAACCAGAGAGCAAAAAAAGTCGGCCAAAAAAGAGCATATACAAATGGAATTGCACAGTGTAGACAAAACTAAGTTAGCTATTACAAGTCTGAATAATGGTTTTCTCTGAGGTGGGCAGAGCTGACAAAGGAAGTAAAAGGTAGCTTCTGGTGTGCTGGTGATGTTGTTTCTTGATCTGGCTGTTGGTTACATGGGTGTATTCAACATGATAAAATTTGTCAATCTGCACATTTATGATTTGTACACTTTTCTTATGAATATTATGCCTCAATAAAGATTACATGACAAAAAGGAAATAAACAGCAAACTGAAAACAATTTTCTACAAATATAATAAGGCTAAGTAACACATGAAGAACTCATGCAAATCAATTTTTTTTTGCAAATCAATTTTTTTAAAAAATAATTTATTTATTTGAGAGAGAGAGAGAGAGAGAGCAAGGGGAGGAAACAAGAACCTGAAGCAGACTCTGCACTGAGCATTGAGACCGACATGGGGCTTGACCCATGACTGCAAGATCATGAACCCAGCTGAAACCAAGAGTCAAGACGCTTAACCCACCAAACCACCCAGGTGCCCCTGCAAATCAATTTTTAAGAAGCTAGCATCCAGGGGTGCATGGTTGGCTCAGTCGGTTTAGCGTTGGGACTCTTGATTTGGGCTCAGGTCATGATCTCAGGGTGGTAGATTGAACTCTGTTTCAGGCTTCAGGCTCTGCACTGGGCATGGAGACTGCCTAAGATTCTCTGTCTCTCCCACTGCTATCTCTCCCTCTGCACTCCCCCCCCAAATAAAAAATACAAATAAAAATACAGAAGCTAGCATCTAAAAGGAAAATGAACAAAAAATACAAAAAGAAGCATGCAAAGAAAGAAATAAAAATGGTTCAAATAAATGCACAAAATATGAATTAGAACAATGGAGTGCTATTTTTCCCTATCAAATTAGAAAAGATTAAAAAAAACTAAAAAGGCCATTGCTGAGGATTTGGTGAAATTGATATTCTTATTCCTAATGGAAATGTAAATTAGTATGACCTTTCTGTATAAGTCTTAAATTGTCATATCCTTTTGACCCACTAGTTTCACTTCTAGAAATTATTCTAAGGAAAAATCAGAGTTGCAGTTAAAGATGGAATCATATCAGTGTTATTACAATGGTATTTTGAAACAATATAATTATCCAAAATGGAAAAATGGTTATATTACAATACACACATATGCTGGAATATTATGTTATCAATAATGTTTTCAAAGAGTAATGAATAATTAAAGACTCATGATAAATTTATATGAAAAATACATACAAAATTCTATTTGGTATGATACCTTTTGCTTTAAAAAATATCACACGCTAAACATAACACTTGCTTAAAAAAAAGTCTGTAAGAACACATAATACTATAATGTTAATAGCAGCCATCATTGGGTGGCAGGATAAAGGATGATTTTAATTTTATGGCTTATTTTCTACAAGGAAATGATTTTTGAGCATGCATTACTATTATATTCAGAAATCTAAGAAAATAATAGGGTTAAAAAAAAGAAAAAAAAAAAATCTGCCCAGGTTTCTTTACCCTACACATCTGAGCAACCTAGATTTTTGTCTCCTTCAGCTCCCACATTCAATCTGTAACTGTTTCCTTGATTTTACCTTTAATTCTAAGAATTACCTGTCCAAGCCATCAGTCCATTATTTCTTCTCTTATTTCCAAAATTCAGACACTTGTCTTCCCAAATGAGCTCCTGGAATCCAGACTCTTCATTTTGGTAAAATGGCTCTATCTTGCACTACTTCTACATTCTAGCCACATCAAACCACTTTATATAGCGACCCTCCACACTCATGCCCCTGAAAAAATCCACACCAGGTACTTTCACACCTCCTAACCTTGGCATGCTCAGTTCTCTTTCCCAGGAATGCATTTTCTCCTTTCGTTCTAATCCGATTCATAGTTCAAGATTTACCTCCGATATCATTTACTGGGTGTAGCTTCTCTGAGGCCACAAGAACAGACCGGCGTTTCCACATCAATCCTCCAATAACAGTTAATACATATTTCAACACTTACCATTCTGCACTGTTTAATGGCTAGCTTTCCCAGTGTATGGAATGAGCCATTTCTTTTTTTAAAATTTCTTAAAATCCGGTTGGATGAGTGAACATAAAGCATACATATATGCAATATATCTACGCTGCGTATGAGCTTTCACCTGTATCTGATAGATAAACGGCAACAAAACACTCGCCTGTTTTTGTTTTTGTTTTTTTTTCATTCAAGATGGCAGAGAACGTCTTAAAATAGTCCCACACAAAAGCACTCACACCCAGAGCCTCGAGTCAGAAGAACTGGCTACACCTAGCGCAACAGCAAAGGACAAAAGAACTGAACCTAGATGTTGAGATGCCTCGTTCCTAATCACTCTCAGGAGGTCCCGCACACAGATTTTAAAACGTGTTAGAAAACCGGCACCTGCTGCCTTCATTAAGAGGACCACGCCTCGACCGTGAACTGTGACCCGAGGCATTTCTGGATACTGACCCAAAAAATCGAGCACGAAAAAAGGGGAGACTAAGTTGTAGAGAGGAGTATCCAAAATGCACGACTGCGCCCCGCCCCACCCGGGCGCAGTACCCCCGCAGCATATCCATCTCCCGGGAAGGAACCGGCAGGGTTCTGGTCCACCCGCCTAGCAACGGGGCCCCAGCTGGGAATTCTGGGCGGGCCTGAGGCGGAGATTGCCGCGGCAAGGGTGCCTGGGGCTGCACCTGTCAGGCTGCGGCCAACACTAGGCCCAGAAATTGCCGAGATTCGGTGACCGAGGCGGGAAGGAGCGTCACCCGATCCATTCTGCCGGGATCGGCCCTTCGCCTTCCCCCTTGTCCTTCTCAAACAAAGGCAATCCACACCCACCGCCATTTTCCCCTTACCTCAAAAACCACCTCTTCGTCAAACTCCGGTGTCATCCTTCTCCGCCATGCCACCCGCCTCAGCACGATGGGAAATGAAGGCGGGAGAACTGGCGGCACCTCGGCGTCTGCTACGGACCGTCACTTCTGTCCAGAAAACTACAATTCCCAGAATGCCTCGCAGCTCACGCCCCCTTTTCAGGACCACTGATTGGAACAGAGCAAGAGCGTGTGGGCGGAAGGGGCAGGAGCGGGAGGAAGCTCGAGCCCACTGATTGGAGGAGGCTGGCGCTTTTGTCCGCCTTTTACGGCCGCGACTAGCAGGGGGCGCCTGAAGCCCTGATTTTTTATTTTTTTGGAGCTGGAGAGGAGCACGCGCCGGCCCAGCCGCGGTGAGCTCTGCTCGTGCCCGCGCCTGGCCGTCCTCCGGGAGCTCGGCTGGGTGGCGCTCGTGCCCGCCCGCCCGCCGCCTGCGGCTCGCGCTCGGGTGCGCCGCCGGGTCCCTGGAGCCGGCCGCGTCCTTTGTGCGGCGCTCGCTTTGCGCCGCTGGGCAGCGGGACGGCATGCGGGCGCTGCAGAGGCTTTTCTCTTCTGCTCAAACTCTTGAAACAATGGACTGTAAGAGGAGCATGGATTGAGGGGGGCGAGCGGGGAAGCGAAGCGAGCTGCACAGGGAATCATGACTTCTGCCGCCGGTAAGTGACGGCTCTCGCGCTGCCGCTGGGAAGTTTGTAGGGAGCGCTGCTAGTCTTGGGCTCTGGAGCAACTTTCTCCTCACGGATGGGTTAACGCCTACCTTTCCCAAGGGCTGTGCAAGTGCGGAGCAGACAGCGTGTGCTGCCGGATTTTCTCGTCCCTTCCTGCCGAGAGGGGCTGGTTGGAAATCGTGTATCTCTTGGGACCTCCCTTTATACGGAGACCCGTGTTGGGAGCTCTTTGCGCCAGGTGAATCACGAAATATGAAGAGGGAAACATTTGCTCGTCCCTCCTAAAGTTTGGGGGACTTTGCCTTTGCGTGTGAAAGTAGTTTAGATTCCCATGTTAAGAAATCTGTTACTCTAGGAAAGGGCAGTGTTCCCGGACTGTTGAACTCAGCCACTACGCTGAGTCGCTTTGAACCTAGTTATCTGCTGGAAACCCTGACCCTTATTAGATGGAGAACTTTAGACTTTGTGGCTCCCGTCCTGGTGGTTTTTCCTCTGTTACCTGAGAAGCAGAGGAGTAGAATTGTCGATGGCAATTTTTTGCTCATCTTCACCCAGTTTTTATGGATTTTTTTCTGTTTCTACCTGGTTAGTGTAAACGAAGCCTTATTTTCTGTCTGACTTCCATAGTCCTTTCTCTTCATCCAAATGACAAAGCCTGTAATTTACCTTTGTGTGGATTTTGAGCAATTCTCGACGTTGTATGTCTAAACAGTCTTAAGGAACAGTTCTTATTTTCCAAAAATAATTAGTAAAGTAATTGCTAATTACGATTAAAATCACTTTGCAAGACCTTAGGTCAATTTTTAAACCAGAACTTAATAATATATTAAGTATTGCGGGGTTTTTTCTGTATGTTTTTGCCCATGTTGAAAGAAAAACACTTTCATTAGAAATTTTGTAGTAAAATAATGTAAGGCTTCCCCTCAAAGTTACTTCTAGGTTCAGCACTTAAGTACAATTAAATTTTCTTTGCTTTTCTTGGCATTTGTTCTAAATTCCTGCAAGGTGAAGCTGTCAAACAGCACTCTAATAAATGTTCTGATTTGTATTCTTTCTAAAATAGATATATTGGAGTGTTGCATTGCTAGATGTAATCAGATTACAACTAACAAGGCAAGAAGTTAGCCAACAGGAATAAGAAAGCAAGGAGTGAAATATTCCTGAAGATGTTGTGGATCGTTCCTTTTTAATGTTATATGTATGTATAGGAGATATGTTATCATATACTGTGGAAGTTATTTATAAACTCTCTTTTCCTTACTAAGGAGAGACTTTCTACTTACTTGAGGTGAACTATTTTCATCTTAAATTTCGGTGCCTCACCTTTCAATTTTTCTTTATTACTGACCCAATACAGTTAATTTAAATTTAAAGTGGTTGGATATTTAAAAATCTTTCCAGCCATTTTAGCTCTCCCTTCCTTTGGAGTGTCAAACACATTTAAAATTCATTCCTTAAATGTATCACTTTCAATTCTAGTCCTAACAGTTAATAATGAACAGGTACAGAAGCACTTAAGTTGACATTTAGATGTGTAAATCTGACCGGGGGTTCAATCAGGAAGTTTATGATGCTTTGATTTGTATTACCCTAGAATAATGCAAGCTATTTTTATATTTTATCAACTTTACAATTAAAGAAATCCACAGACATTTTTGTGGTGTTTAAAAGAGGAACACTTCCTGTGTTTAGCTGAGTTAGTTGGTTTTTAGCCTGGCTTGCTGAGAATCATTAACTACCTTTTTGTTCACCCATCTGTTAAGATTTTTTATAATTCTTTCTCATGTCTAAATGGAGAATATGGAAGAAAACTGGGGTTTTATTTCCATTCCATTCTTACAAAATTATGTGCTCATCATTCTTACAATCTCTCTGATACTTTTTTGGTATAATAATCAAATTCTTTAAAACCTTAGGAATATTATTTACAATTGGGGGAGGGGGTGTTTGTTTATATTGACTCTAATCTGTGGTATTTGGGATGGTTGGCTTAATTTTAAAATAAGATAAATGTTAAAAAAATTTAAAAATAAGATAAATGTTGTAAACATCCTGAGTTATATGTATCCTGAAGGAGAGCTTGCTTTGTTTTTCTGCATCTGTGAATGAGTAGGCGCATAATAGAGATTTTAGAATTATTCTAGTTTCAGTATATGAAAAAGGAGAGATCTTTATCGGTGTATATTTTGTATCCTTTAAAACACATACAGCCTCATTAATGCCTGTGCTTTGCCTTTTGGCTGGTCCAGTAGCTAAGAAAGTGTGCACGTGAACCACAGCCATCTGTGTGTAACACATGACAAGTATGTTTGTAATAGTAAAATGGTACCAGTGCTTTACTTTCTTACCTTATTTTTCCCTGGAGCCAAACAGCTGTGTAAATAAAAGATTTGCTGCTTTGCTCTACAGCTTTTGGGTCTAAATGTTGATACAGTATTAAAATCCAAAGGTGCTGGGTGCATTTCTAAACATCATGCACTTACTTCAAGAGTGACATAGGAGCAGGCTGTAATATAATGGCTTGTTATTTTTTGAGTTCTGTTTCTTTCAAAATAGAGCCACTAAATATTACTACTACTACTAATAATAATAAAGGATTTTGGATATTGTGCTACCAGTGAGTTGAACACTTGCTCTTACTAATAATTAAAAATTTATTCAATAATCCTATTGAAGTTGATTCCTGCTAACTTTTCAAAATATTATTCTACATTTAAATGGGTACTGTTTTTTGTTTTTTTTTAAAGAAAAGAGTAAAACTAGTACCAAAGGTTAAAAAACAATTTGACTAAAAAGCAAAAATTGATTGGTTAAATGGCTTTTGACAAGGCAATAAGATTGAGAAAGTAAAAGATTAATTTGATGAGACTGGGTTTTTGTTTTGGGGGTTTTTTAGTTGTGGAAAATACACATAACATAAATTTACCATCTTTACTGTTTTTAAGTGTATAGTTCAAGTTGCTGTGCAACCAGTCTCCAGAACTCTTTCCATCTTGCAAAAGTGACTTTTTTTTTTAATTCCTTCAAAAATCCCAGACGTAGGATGTTTTAAGAATGGTTACAGAAATCAACATGACAGTTTGTCATGTTTCGTTATCTGGGGTAGGGTGGGAGGTTTGGAAGAGGCCCTGGGCATTCATACTTTTATCTTAAGACTTAATAGGTCAGTAGTTTAATTTAATAGACTATTATAGCAAAGTTTATCATTAGGCTTTGAATGGTTTTACAATTTTTTCTACTTAAAAATAACATGCTTATTGAATAGCTAACAAATTGTATAGCTTTGGAAATTTGTATTAAATTATTTTGGAAATATTTTATTATCTTCTTTATCAGGACATTACACCCAGGAATTGAATGAGAAAGCATGTGTTATCATGTGACCTTGGTTTGGGAAAATGGTTGGTAAAAGGAAATAGAACTGCCTATTCTCTCTCTCTCTCTCTAACTCTCTCTCTCTCCCTCCCCCCTTCATATAATATCTTCCCAAGTGTTGTGACTAATTTCCTTTGTTGAAAAAAAAAAATCACTAAATGAAGTATCAAAGCCTCTGTGTATTCAAGTACTTAATGTCTAACATATATTTTGAAAAATTTGTGGTTTTTTTTTTTTTTTGGAAATTTTTATTAAGCATTAGATCCTGTTGGAGGAACAAACATGAAGTGTAAGAAGTATAAGATAAAGTATTTTTACTTCAGGTCTCCTTGGGGAAATGTGACTAGGTGATGTGATAGTATAGGTAGAAAAACTTAAAAAGAACAAAAAAAACAACAACAGATGTTTGGGCCCCTTGTATCTTCATCTTATAGGTCTTTTGTGTGAGGCTTTTACTAGGTGCCTTTAGGCTAGGACCAGGTCTGTACAAATCTAGCATAGTATACTAGGTGTTTATTAAAAAAAAATAGGTGTTTATTAAGTGCTTTTTATATAATGTTGAGGAAGGATTGCTACAATAGAAATTGTGTTCATCTTTTAAAGGCACTAGAATAGAGGTTATTAATAAAGGGAACACAGTATATTCACCTGTGAAACTTAAAAGAAATACACATGTCCAGGCTGTATGCCCAGAAACTGATTGATTAGACATGGCGTGGAACCTATACACATGACTTAAAATAAAGCTCTGTGAAGGATTGTAATAAAAATTCCCAATGACAGTATCCATACAGAGAAGTACCAACTTTATAATTAATCAAGTAATACAGAAGAACTAGTTTTGTTTTTAAGTTTAGAAAATTTCTGATTTCTGTATTCCTTTTTAATATTGTTTTGCTGTTCTAGTGAGGTAGATTCTTGAGAAAAGGCACTTATACAACTCTGGTATATCACTGGGGTGGAAGAATACTACTACTTATTGATATGTAAGCTTAAGGGTTTCATTTCTATATAACTGAGGCAAATTCACTCACTTAGCACTCGGCAGATGAACTGAAGTGCTTTCTTCTGCTATAGCAATGATTTCATTTAGTGTCTACTGAAGATAATCTGTTCCAAAGCTAGAAGGAAAACTGTATTGGACTTGCTAAGAAATGTACACTCTACCCAGAGCTTTGTATATTGGAATTGAATGGCAGTTTAAGGAATTTTCAAGAGTAATGTTGACTCTTTAATGTAACATAATCTACCTAGTAAAATGCAAGTTCACCATATTATCAAAAAAAGTAAAAATGTTATCAAATTTAATTATTTATCATCTTTTGCTTTGGGGTTTTTTGTTTTTTGTTTTTGTCATCAAATTATTATTTTTTCCTTTCTAGAGATTAAGAAGCCACCAGTGGCCCCCAAGCCAAAGTTTGTGGTAGCAAATAATAAGCCAGCTCCACCTCCTATTGCACCTAAACCTGATATTGTGATCTCTAGTGTTCCACAGTCAACAAAGAAAACCAAACCAGCAATAGCCCCAAAACCAAAAGTTCTGAAGGGCTCACCTGTTGGAGACATTGGGCAGTCACCATCAAGGAAAATCATTGTGAACCTGGAAGAGCACAAACAGGAATTACCTGAAAATGCTGACAACTCTAATTGTAAAAATGTAGGGCATCAGAGCAATGATTATATTTTACCAATGTGTTCATGCAGTTCTCAGTGTATCCATAAACTTGGGAATAGAGAGAATTTGTGTGTAAAGCAACTTATCTTAGAGCCCCTGGAAATGCATGAAAGTTTAGAAAATAGTAAAATTGATGAATTCTCTTCAGCTATAAAAACAAGGAGTAAATGTGATTCTAATGTTGAAAATGTCAAGAGCCAGAGTGGAGTAGTTTTAAAGGCAAACATCCTAGAAGAGAAGCTTAAAAATGTTTTAACACAACGAACATTACCTTTTATTTCCCTACAGAAGCACAGATCCACAAACAACTCAGAAATTAATGATGGCTATAATTCTAACAGACAATTCAGAATTGAGTTTGCAGATTTGTCACCTTCCCTGTCCAGCTTTGAAAAAGTTCCTGATCATCACCACTGCCACCTACAGCTTCCTAGTGATGAAACTTATAAGCATAGCAGTGAAAAAAGCAATACTTGCTTTCATTCATCTGAACAAGAAGCTCTGGAAAATGGTAAAAGGAGTACTTTTCTATCTTCAGATGGAGTTAATAAGAAATCAGAAGTCAAAGACCTTGGTCCCTTAGAAATTCAGTTAGTACCATATACTCCCAAATTTCCAACCCCCAAGCCCAGAAAGACACGGGCTGCTCGTCTGTTACGTCAAAAGTATATAGATGTTCCTAGTGAAAGTACTGAAGAACCAGAGAATTTAGATAGTAACTCTTCTTGTCTTTTAGAAGCTGGTTTGAAAAACAATAAAATCAGTGTTCTTCATCAGAATGTTTTGTGTAACCAGGAACAGGTGGACAAAGTGAAGCCAGGAAATAAAAGTGAATTGAATGTGGACTCCAATGGTGACAGACAAAATTTAGTCAATCCACAGAAAGCTATGTGTCATGAAACATCTTCCTTTGAAAAAATGGAAACAGATTCTAATTTAAATTCTGACAGCAAGACAGTGGATGGTTCTAGTATGTCACTTGCTGTGGACAAAGGGACCAGTTTTATAAGATGTAGTACTTTATCTATGAGCCTGCCTAAGCAGCTCAAATTAACCTGCAATGAACATTTGCCTACCACCTGTAACCTGGGAGTGTCTGCCCCTCAAATGCAAAAGCAATCTACAATAAAAGGTGAAATTTCCTCAAGGATTGTCCCGAAAAAACCTCAAAGACACAGCTTGCCTGCTGCAGGAGTGCTTAAAAAGGCTGCCTCAGAGGAGCTTGTGGAAAAAAGTTCTTATCCCTCAAATGAGGAAAATAATTCAGAGAAAGGTCTAGAAAGAAATCACCCTCGGCATTTGTGCGCCCAAAACCTCAGTATGTCGTCTTCCTTTGATATGCCTAAACGGGCTTCAGAAAAGCCAGTGTGGAAATTACCTCATCCTATTTTACCCTTTTCAGGGAACCCGGAATCCTTAAAGTCTGTCACTATATCATCAAATAGTGAGCTTTCAACTGCCATAACTAAGCCTAGAGCAAAATCGTTATCTGCCATGGATGCGGAAAGGTGCACTAAGCCTTGCAAAGACACTCAAAAGAAAAACTCTTTAAAGAAGTTGCTCAACATGAAACTGTCCATCTGTTTCATGAAGAGTGACTTCCAGAAATTTTGGTCCAAGAATAGCCAGCTTGGAGACACAACCGCAGGTAGCCTGTCAGGTGGGGAGAGGAAAGGAATTGAAAGTGATGAAAGTGAAAGGCATGGCATGTTGGTAGAAGAGAAGAGAAGTAAACCCATCAAGGCATATTCTGCAGATAACTACAGCCTAGAATCCCAAAAGAAGAGGAAGAAGTCTCGGGGTCAGACCAGTGCAGCTAATGGACCAAGAGCTGAGTCTTTGGATGATCAAATGTTCTCCAGGGAGTCCTCATCTCAGGCGCCTTGCAAATCTATTACGAGTGGCTGTGCACCAGAGTATGAAAATGTACGCCATTATGAGGAAATACCAGAGTATGAGAACTTGCCATTTATAATGGCCATGGGGAAAACTCCCGAGTTAGAATGGCAGAATACCAGAAGCATGGAGGACACCGATGCAAATGTGTATGAGGTAGAAGAGCCATATGAAGCTCCAGGTGGCCAGGTGCAACTTGGACCCAGACATCAGCATTCCAGGTAACACTTAGGTGCCAGACGGACACTGTGCTTTTGCACAGATCACTGAAATTAACCTTCAAGAAGCCTGTGAGATGGGGGAAAATCACTTGGTGAGAGCGTGGTTTAGTTAAGCATATATTAAATTATTCCAGACTGCAGTGTTCTTTTACCATATAGTCAGTATGGGTATTTTCAGTGCAGCCTTGAAGTAGTTAACTTATTTTAGTAGCTGATTCAAAGAATTTGAACCAGTGGTAGTGTAGGTAGTATAAAGGAGACCTAGAACAGCAAGGTTGCAGGCCCTCCAAGGCACCAACTTATAAGTCATAGCAGGAATCTAGGGGAGAAAATTGGCCAGGTTTATTTGTTAGGTGTAAGAAATGTGTGAAGTTAAGGAGCGCCTGGGTGGCTCAGTTGGTTGAGCGTCCAACTCTTGATATGAGCTCAGGTCTTGATCTCAGGGTCATGAGTTCGAACCCCACACTGGGCACTGCGCTGGGTGTGGAGCCTCCTTAAAAAAAATAAAAGAAAAAGGAATCTGTGGAGTTTGAAATCCATGCATTTGCCTATGATGCCCTTGTCAGTTAAAATCTCTAAATTTACAAAATTTCATACTCCGAGGATTATTTTGCTTGTTGAAGACTAATTGCTGGCTTCATATGGACATAGGAAAAATATGGGAAATGGAAAGTTACTATCTTTTCTTTCTCACTTTTTTATATGTATTTACTACCTCTGGTATCCCTATTCCAACCATCTTATTGAAACCTTGACCATCCTTGATAGTCCAGCTCAGCAACCATTGACTTCATGAAGCTTTTACAGACCTAGTAGGAAGTGTTGATTTCCTATTCTGATCTCCCTATTATGCTGTGGAATCCTTACAGCCTTTATCTCCATCTTATGGTATAGTTGTTTATTGGTATGTCTGATATTCTGTATTCACTTTTAAGCTCCATGACGAGTTTGAGTCGTATCTTTTATCCCTTATGAGGCCAAACGGGGTTTGGACGGATGAGTAGATGTTGATTGGGTGAGAGAATGAATGAGAAAGAGGTAAAGTAAACAGCCACTGCAGGAGCTTTGTTCTTGCTCTGTGGTCACAAAGACGGCCTTCACCATGCATTTAAAGTGTTTTGTGTATAACATAAAGCACACAGGCCCTTTTTGAAGTCTTCATGTTCTTAGGTCACTAACCTCAAGCCTTTGAGTACTCAGGTCTTACGGTGGGGCTTTTGTAGAAATAGTCACATATATGGTGGCAAGGTAGGGGCTCAGGATTATCAGGTGAATTGAATAAATAAGAATGTCAAGCAAAATCTTAGCGTACCAAGTAAAATTGTTCTAATTTCTTTTAGCTTTCAAATGCTCTCCTAGCATGTTTCTTTACTTGTATCTGTGCCCTTCCTCCTTTGAGCTATAAAAGACTTAGCTTCCTTGCCTGACTTTTCTCTAGCTGACTCCATTCTGCTTACAACTGTCTACTCTGAACATTAGTATCTAGGCAGAAGCCTTTTCCTTGGCGTAAATATTTTGACAGAGAATTGAAATTAAGTATCCAACTTAAAAAAAAATTTATGTATTCTTTTTTTTTTTTTTTTAAGATTTTATTTATTTATTTGACAGAGACAGAGATAGCGAGAGCAGGAACACAAGCAGCGGGAGTGGGAGAGGGAGAGCAGGCTTCCCGCCGAGGAGGGAACCCGATATGGGACTCGATCCCGGGACCCTGGGATCATGACCTGAGCCGAAGGCAGACGCTTAACGACTGAGCCACCCAGGCGCCCAAAAATTTATGTATTCTCATGGTCGTTCTTCTCTCCATGGAACAGTTTTGTTGGTATTGCCCTCCTTTTAATATGATTTTGTATATTATGTGTGTGTATGTGTCTGTGTGTATCTGGGTGAAAGAGGAATTAATTTGGCTTCTTTATGATAATACGGCTATCCTTAGCTAAGATGAAGTGTTTTTCTTGAAATTGGAGGTTTGGCGGTCCCATTGGCCCTCAGGCTTAAATCCCAAGGATTTGTCATTATTGCTAACACCAGCTGTAAACGTCTGGAACTTGTCCTTTTTCTGATATGTTTCTTATGCAGTGAGGGCACTGCTGCTCTGGGGGTGATGGGAAACCAGGTTGGAAGGGGTTAATGTACACAGCCAGCCGGTGCAGCTGGATGGCATTCTTAAGGAGGGTTCTTTCTCAAGGCCACAGGAAACCGAGGGCGGCTTTGGACAGGTTACAGGCTGTCAAGTAGGGCAGCCTGGTAAAGAGTGAGTGAGCTCTGCTTTTGAATTAGCTTTCCACAGAGATTTTTGTTTAGGCCTGGAGCAGGGAGCCAGGCTCGAGAGTCTTGAAATGTGCCAGCTGAATCAAAAGCCTTCAGTCATAGGGTCAGACTAACAGCTTTTCCTGGGAGATTGTACCTTTTGTAAAACACTGAATAGACAGAGAAAGCAAAATCCAAGCCTTCCTGAGGAGGACACCTGGACACCCTAAAACAAGGTAAATGAGAAGTGGGACCTGTATTTCAGGTGAGCCGAGTGGACCCAAATGGAAATCCTGTTTGGCAATCCGGCTGTTGAAAATATATAGACCTCTGCCTTGGAGTAATTACTTTAAAATCCAACACAATAGAGGTCTAAAATGATAAAAACAAAACAAAACAAAACAAAAAAACCCCCATAAATAAACCCTAGTTAAGATTCATCTGCTGGAGTGAATAAAAAAGTGTCTTAACAGTTTCTCGATCCTCAGGGAAGAGATTCTGGATGTTCATAGGGGACTGGTTCACAGAGACTTACTAGTTTTGCAGAGTTCACGTGTATAACCAACAGATTCTGGATTAGTAAACAGACATTGCCAAGCCTGGGGTGGCTCATATTGTCACCTTTAGAGTACAGATGTTTGATGAATCCAACAGCTTAATATTTACTAATTCATAACATGTTTGTGATTTATCAGGAAATAATTGTATGCAGTCCCCAAGTTACAAATACGATTGTGTTCTAAAAGTTCATGATAATTTGGAACTTAAGAGTATATTGCCCAAAGAAAGAGTTTTGGAAATGTTGGTAGAGGATCCAGGTTAGCACCCACGTTATATTAGCCATTTCTGTACTCAAACTTTCCCTTCCCCTTTCCTAGGTGAATTCTTCCTCCCAGTGCTTCTTTGTGCTGGGGCAGGAGCTTTGACCAGCCCGGGTGGGGTTGAGCACCACCATGTCAGAGGAGCAAATCCCCTGGGTCTGAGACAGCAGTGTTTGTGGAAAGGGTGAGGTGACTAAAGAAGAATGAGGAAATTGGGGGCTGGGTTTGCTTTGAGAAAGACTGCAAGGCATTGGGAGTGATAAGGAGAAGGAAAGGGCTGGGTGGTTGGGATTTAGTGAGGAGTGGATTTTCTTCCCCTCCTTTCTCCTCACCGTTCCTATCCCTCCTCTCTTTCCGTCCCCATTCTCCTCTGCGTGATTCTGCTAATTGAGTTTCTGACCTCAGGCAAGAGTGAGTAGGAGAGGGGCGCCTGGGTGACTCAGTCATTGGGCATCTGCCTTCGGCTGAGGTCATGATCCCAGGGTCTTGGGATCGAGCCCTGCGTCGGGCTCCCTGCTCCGTGGGGAGCCTGCTTCTCCCTCTCCCCCTGCTTGTGTTCCCTCTCTGGCTGTGTCTCTGTGTCAAATAAATAAGTAAATCTTTAAAAAAAAAAAAGAGTGAGTAGGAGAAACCAGAGGCAGGGAGCTGAATTTGGGTAAGGAGTGGCTCTGGGAAGCCCTCCAGCAGGGAAAGATGAATAGCCAAATCTGAAGGTAAACGAGGGTGAAGGGAATTCCTCTGGCCATGGAAACAGTTGCTTTACATGTCCCCGGATAGGACGCCATTTGCTTACTGCTCTGTTCTCAAAAGCAGTTTTGTTGGGAGCAAGATTGTGAGAAACTCAAGCGTTCTGGTGCCTTTTGAGTATAGTTATAAGCTCTCTTTGCTGTAATGTTTCAAACATATTTATCCTAAAATACCTAGCTGACAACTCTCTCTCACTGGCACACAGGTTAATGAGTGCTCATTTATTAGTATTATTTTAGAAGTTTGATTTTTGTAGGGAAGTTAGTAAATTTGGGCCTTTAATATTAAAGAGTTATAGACAAATTAGCAAAATAATAGTGTGCAAATATGTGCAAATAGTGTGCAAATCCTCTTGAAATTGTAGCAGATTTCTTAATTCTCTAACCAAGAACTTCCCTTGGAACCTTTCTAGGTTTTTCCTCTGTTGTTTTTGTTGTTACTATAAGCACTTCAAAGAAAATGAATGATTATTGGGTTTTCCTGGGTAACTTGGCAAGCCCTCAGATTATTTATTCCGCAGTCTTGACCATGTGTAAAGCCCTGTGCCTTCAAAGGTAAAAGGGAGGTGCCTACTCCCAGGAGCTTCTGTCCAGTGAGGCCACAATTATAGGGCAACATGGTTTTGTTGATCCAAGCTTTGTCTGAATTATACCCCAAGTAAGGTATTAAAGATGACCTCACAGATTTGGTACCACTTGACCCAAGGCTTATAAAACGGACATGATTGAGTTTGGCATTTAGGAGGTCATTTTCTAACCTTGATAAGAGGAGTGTCATTGGTGCTCTGGGGGAAGAAGCTGGATTGCACACTGAGCATTTCAAAGAGAGGAAATGGAATCAGCCAGTGTGGACGGCTGCCGCCTGAAACTTTGCCCAGAAGTCCCCATCACTTGACATGTTTGGATTTATCTTCAGGTTTTCCTCAAGTACCAGGATTCAAAATAAAGTAAACTTCAAAATAATTTCTTCTTAATCAGTAGATCCTTATTTCTGATGAAGGAAAGTATTAAGTTTTTGTTTGTTTTCTCCCCATTTTAAACACAAAACTGGGCTCAACAAGCTCCCAAATAACAAATCCTCTAAAATCCTGCAATGGCTTTTGTGTTACAAATCATCAGACCCTGTCTAGAAGATATCTCTCTTTGGTTGCATGTACCATCTGGTGCTCTTGTTGGATCTTAA